ATTCATAGTTGTCTCTGTGGTGCAATCGGTTAGCGCGTTCCGCTGTTAACTGAAAGGTTGGTGTTTCAAGACCACCCAGGGACGATTTATCCTTTGTCCATAGATCGAAAAGTTTTGAGTGAATGGGAATTGCAGAAAGTGATGAAAACATTATGCGCCCGACGTGATGCTCAAACCCACGACCCTGAGATTAAGAGTCTCATGCTCTACCGACTGAGCTAGCCAGGCTGACAAAATAATTAAATGAATTCATAGTTGTCTCTGTTTCGCAATCGGTTATCGCGTTCCGCTGTTAACTAAAAGGTTGGTGGTTCAAGCCCATCCAGGGACGATCTATACTTTTGTCCATTGATCGAAAATTTTTGAGTGAATTGAAATTGTAGAAAGTAATGAAAACATTATGTGCCCAACGTGGGGCTCGAACCAACGACCCTGAGATTAAGAGTCACATGCTCTACCGACTGAGCTAGCCAGGCTGACATGCAACCTTTCAATTATTGTCACCAACCTCTCAGTTCGAGCAACTCCAGAGACTTATGCTCCACCGACTGAGCTAACCAGGCAGACGAAAAAATTAAGTAAATTCATAGTTGTCTCTGTGGCGTAATCGGTTAGTGCGTTTGGCTGTTAACTGAAAGGTTGGCGGTACAAGCCCACCCAGGGACGATTTATGCTTTTCTCCATTGATCGAAAAGTTTTGAGTGAATTGAAATTGTGGGGCTCGATACCACAACTCAAGAGTCTCATGTTCTACCGACTGAGCTAGCCAGGATGACAAAATAAATAAATAAAGAAATTCATAGTTGTCTCTGTGGCAAATCGATTAGCGCGTTCCGCTGTTAACTGAAAGGTTGGTGGTTCAAGACCACCCTGGGACGATCTATGCTTTTGTCCATTGATCGAAAAGTTTTGAGTGAATTGAAATTGTAGAAAGTGATGAAAACATTATGCGCCCAACGTGGGGCTCGAACCCACGACCCTGAGATTAAGAGTCTCATGCTCCACCGACTGAGCTAGCCAGGCTGAAATGCAACCTTTCAATTATTGTCACCAACCTCTCAGTTCGAGCAACACCAGAGTCTTATGCTCCACCGACTGAGCTAACCAGGCAGACAAAAAAATTAAACAAATTCATAGTTGTCTCTGTGGCGCAAGTAGTTAGCGTGTTCGGCTGTTAACTGAAAAGTTGGTGGTTCAAGCCCACCCAGGGACGATCAATACTTTTGTCCATTGTCCAACATGGGGCTCGAACCCACGACCCTGAGATTAAGAGTCTCATGCTCTACCGACTGAGCTAGCCAGGCTGATATGCAACCTTTTATTTATTGTCACCTACCTTTAAGTCGAGCAACTCCAGAGACTTATGCTCCACCGACTGAGCTAACCAGGCAGACCAAAAAAATAAATAAATTCATAGTTGTCTCTGTGGCACAATCGATTAGCACGTTCGGCTGTTAACTGAAAGGTTGGTGGTTCAAGCCCACCCAGGGATGATCTATGCTTTTGTCCATTGATCGAAAAGTTTTGAGTGAATTGAAATTGTAGAAAGTAATGAAAAAATTATGCTCCTATCGTGGGGCTCGAACCCACAACCCTGAGATTAAGAGTCTCATGCTCTACCGACTGAGCTAGCCAGGCTGACATGCAACCTTTCAATTATTGTCACCTACCTCTCAGTTCGAGCAACACCAGAGACTTATGCTCCACCAACTAGGCTAACCAGGCAGACCAAAAAATTATTAACTTCATAGTTGTCTCTGTGGCGCAATCGGTTAGCGCGTTCGGCTGTTAACTGAAAGGTTGGTGGATCAAGCCCACCCAGGGGCGATCTATGCTTTTGTCCATTGATCGAAAAGTTTTGAGTGAATTGAAATTGTAGAAAGTGATGAAAACAATATGCGCCCAAAGTGGGGCTCGAAACCACGACCCAAGAGTCTCATGCTCTACCGACGGAGCTAGCCAGGCTGACATGCAACCTTTCATTTATTGTCACCTACCTCTCAGTTCGAGCAACTCCAGAGACTTATGCTCCACCGACTGAGCTAACCAGGCAGACCAAAAAATTCAATAAATTCATAGTTGTCTCTGTGGCACAATCGATTAGCATGTTCGGCTGTTAACTGAAAGGTTGGTGGTTCAAGCCCACCCAGGGACTATTTATGCTTTTCTCCATTGATCGAAAAGTTTTGAGTGAATTGAAATTGTAGAAAGTGATGAAAATATTATGCACCCAAAGTGGGGCTCGAAACCACGACCCAAGAGTCTCATGCTCTACCGACTGAGCTAGCCAGGCTGACATGCAACCTTTCCTTTATTGTCACCTACCTCTCAGTTCGAGCAACTCCAGAGACTTATGCTCCACCGACTGAGCTAACCAGGCAGACCAAAATTTTAATGAATTCATAGTTGTCTCTGTGGCGCAAACGGTTAGCGCGTTCGGCTGTTAACTGAAAGGTTGGTGGTTCAAGCCCACCCAGGGACGATATATGCCTTTGTCCATTGATCGAAAAGTTTTGAGTGAATTGAAATTGTAGAAAGTGATGAAAACATTATGCACCCAACGTGGGGCTCGAACCCACGACCCAAGAGTCTCATGCTCTACCGACTGAGCTAGCCAGGCTGACATGCAACCTTTCATTTTTTGTCACCTACCTCTCAGTTTGAGCAACTCAAGAGACTTATGCTCCACCGACTGAGCTAACCAGGCAGACCAAATAATTAAATAAATTCATAGTTGTCTCTGTGGCGCAATCGGTTAGCGCGTTCCGCTGTTAACTGAAAGGTTGGTGGTTCAAGCCCACCCAGGGACGATCTATGCTTTTGTCCATTGATGGAAAAGTTTTCAGTGAATTGAAATTATAGAAAGTGATGAAAACATTATGCGCCCGACGTGGTGCTCAAACCCATGACCCTGAGATTAAGAGTCTCATACTCTACCGACTGAGCTAGCCAGGCTGACATGCAACCTTTCAATTATTCTCACCTACCTCTCAGTTCGAGCAACACCAGAGTCTTATGCTCCACCAACCAGGGAGACCAAAAATTTAATTACATTCATAGATGTCTCTGTGGCGCAATCGGTTAGCGCGTTCGGCTGTTAACTGAAAGGTTGGTGGTTCAAGCCCACCCAGGGACGATCTATGCTTTTGTCCATTGATCAAAAAGTAATCAGTGAATTGAAATTGTAGAAAGTGATGAAAACATTATGCGCCCAACGTGGGGCTCGAACCCACGACCCTGAGATTAAGAGTCTCATGCTCTACCGACTGAGCTAGCCAGGCTGATATGCAACCTTTCATTTATTGTCACCTACCTCTCAGTTTGAGCAACTCCAG